CTCCGCCCGACCACTTTATTTCGGCACCGCACCCCCCCCCCCCGCTCCGCCGCCTCCCCCGCACCGTCTGAGCGCTCCCCCGCGGCTCGAGCGCCCGCCCAGTGCCCCCTCCGCCCCGACAACCCCCCCCATCCTCCGCCCCCTCCCCCACACGTCTCAGCGCCCACCACGGCTCCAGCGCTCGCCCAGCGCCCCCTCCGCCCCGCCCGCTTTATTTCGGCACCGCAGCCCCTCCCTGCCCCGCCCCTTCCCGGACACCGTCTCAGCGCCCCCACGGTTCCAGCGCCCGTCCAGTGCCCCGCGGCCCCAGTGCCCGGCCAATGTCTTTCCTGCCCCGGTGCGCCCCTTTCGCCCCTTCCCCCCAGTGTTCCCCGCGGCCTCAGCGGGGCCTTCTCCGCATGGTTTCCTTCCGCCCCGCCCATCTTCTTTCCGCCCTCGCGAAGTAACACACGAGCGCCACAAAACGCTTAGGACATCGGGGATCCGGGTCATTACGAAATCGCAATTCTGGTTGCAGCAACAACAAGAAACTGGGGATCCGGGACATTACGAAATTACATTCCTGCTTGCATCAGCAAGTGCACAGACCCTCTGCATCTCACGGCTGTACCCAGAATTCTCTTCGGATTTCGGCGCGGCACCGGCGCGGCGCCCGCCCGCCCTCCCCCCCCCGCTCCTCGCTGGCGCCGACAATTCGGCGATGCGTTGTAGTCAGGGGGAACAGGAGGGACGAGGGAGGGAGGAGGGAGGAAGGGAAGAAGGAGGAGGGAGGATGGAGGAGGGAGGAAGGAGGAGGCCAGACGGATGAGGACGAGGGCGGAGGGAAACGGGAGGAGAAGGAGGAGGAAGAGGAATAGGAAAAAGGAAGGGGAGGAGAAGGAGGGGGAGGAGGAGGAGGAGGAGAGGGACCGGGGAAGTGGAGGGAGGAGGAACGGCTAAAGCGGACGGGGCCCCTGGATGGAGTCTCACCGCAGCCGCCGACAATTGGGCGATGCGTTCTGGTGAGTCAGGAGGAGAAGGAGGAGGAAGAGGAGAGGAGGAGGAGGAGGAGGAAGAGGCAGGAGGGAAGATACAGGATGGCGGCGGAGAGGAAGGAGGAAGGAGGAAGGACGAGGGGTGAGGGAGGAGGCAGGAGGCACGAGGGAGGAGGGCGAAGGGAGGAGGGTGGGGGGGGGAGGGACGGGCCGGAGGGGGAGGAGGAGGAGGAGGAGGAGGAGGAGGAGTGAGGAAGATGAGCAGGAGGGGGATGATTATGAGGAGGAAGGGAGAGGAGGGCGGAGAAGAGAGCAGGAAAGGGAGGCGGAGGAGGAGGTGGAGAAGGAGGAGGAAGAGGAGGGGGAGGAGGAGGAGAAGAAAGAGGATGGGACCGAGGGGGAGGAGGGAAAATGAGGGGAGGAGGAGGAGGAGGGATGGCGCAGGGGTGACATATGCTTGATGACTGGTGATTGATGATGATAATGATGAGGAGGAGAAGGAGGAGGAGGCCCTCTTGCGGGGGACGGCCCTTGGAGTCTCCTCGCGCTCGCCCTCTGGAGCCCCTCTTGCGGCCCTGTTTTGTTCACTCCTTCTGCGATGTCTGGCATCCTCTCCCCCCCCCCTCCTCCTCCACATCCTCCTCCTCCCCCTTCCTTTTTGTGCAAGAGCCATGGCACACGTGCCACTTGTTAATTTTACATGGTTTTGGAAGGATGTTGGCCTTGTCGCATTTTCGGCTTTCCGATGCTCCAAGACGGCCCAAGAGACCCACAAGAGCGCACGAAGACGGCTCAAGAGGCCCCCAAGAAGGCCCCCAGAGAGCCCAAACGGACCCCGAGACGGCCCAAGAGACGCCCAAGACGGCCCAAGAGAGCCCCAAGACGGCCCCAAGAGGGGCCCAAGATGGGGACCACGAACCGAAATCTCAAGCCTTCCGCCCCAAGAGGGCCCAAGGAGACCCCGAGAGGCCCCCAAGATGGCCCAAGATGCCGCCAAGAGGCCCCCAAGAGACACCAGGAGGCTCCAAGGAGGCTCAAAAGAGGCCTACAAGGCTTCAAAAATGTCTCCCAGGCGCCCCCGAACGGCCTCTCAACAGACCCCAGGGCCTCCAAAGAAGTATCTGGACGACGGCCCTGTTTGGCCCCAAGAGCGCCGCAAGATGCCATCGAAAGGCTTCCTCCTCCGCCCTTTTCTCTTCCTCCTCCTCCTCATATTTATCTTCATCCTCATCCGTTCCGTCTCATCCTCTTCTCCCCCTCCCCTCCCCTTCCCCATCCTCATCTTCCTCCTTCCGGCGGCGCCGAAATGGCCCCGAGCCCGCGCCGAAGCAATAGCGATCATGCAATACGGGCCGGCGAAGTGAGCGAAGCGATTGAATATACTTCGTAGTATTATTAGTAGTCGCATTATTCGCCTTACTATTAGCAGTGTTCGACGTCATAGCATTCATTTCTTATTTTCCGTAGTCTTTGTATGTTTCCTCATCCTACTCCTCCGCCTCCTCCTCCTCCTCCCTCTCCTCCTCCTCCTCCTCCTCCTCCTCCTCCTCCTCCTCCTCCTCCTCCTCCTCCTCCTCCTAATCATCATCATCCTCCCGCCTCCTCCTCCTCCACCTCCACATCTACATCCACATCCACATCCTCCCTCCTCCTCCTCCTCCTCCTCCTCCTCCTCCTCCTCCCCTCCTCCTCCTCCTCCTCCTCCTGCACATCCTCATCCTCCTTCTCATCCTCCTCCTCCTCTCCTCCTCCTCCTCCTCCTCCTCTCCTCCTCCTCCCCTCCTCCTTCCCCCCTCCTCCTCCTGCTCCTCCTCCTCCTCCCTCCTGCTCCTCCTCCCTCCCTCCCTCCCTCCCTCCCTCCTCCCTCCATCCTTCCCTCCCTCCCTCCTTCCCTCCTTCCCTCCTCTCCCTAGCTCCCTCCCTGCTCCCTCCCTCACTTCCTCTCTCCCTCCGCCTCCTCCAACCCCCCCCCCCTCGAACTCCTCCTCCCTTCCCTCCCCCCCCCCTCCTGCATCCCCCTCCAACTGTTCCTCATCCCCATCATCATGTTCCTCCTCTCCTCCTCCTCCTCTCCGATTCCGACTCCTCCTCCTCCCTCCCTCCCTCACTCCCTCCGCCCGCCCGCCCGCCCTCCCCCTCCCTCCCCTTTTCCTTCCCGCCCTACCGCCTTGCCTCCCCCGCCCACCTCTTCCTCAACATCACGCGCCTCAGCATGATCCTCCTCTGGACACCTCTGGCGAGAACCCCCGCAGACCTCTGACAAAAAACTACCACCGCCGCCCCGGCGAGACATCGTACTTGCTTCTCACCACTTTCTTTCACAATGCCGCATGCGCAAAGTAATTCCGAAATCGGGCCACTGGGGGCTCGAAGCCAGACCTGGCAACCCTTAAGGGCGCGGCGGGCCAGCAACTATTCACCGATAGCTTCATTAATCAGATGCCCCCACCGTGCTGGCACCAGCCCCTGGACAACCTGAACGATACCATGGTCACCGCTTTCGCTGATGCCGCAGAGCGACTCCCTCGCGAGGCAGAACGAAGAGAGCATCCATGGGTAAGGAGCGCCACCGTGGAGATCATCGCTAGGCGCTAGGCGGAACGAAGCAAGGCGGCAAGGCGACTCAATGTTGGAGAAGCGGCCCAACGGAAAAATCAAGTTATCGTTCAAGATGGACAGGGCATTTATAGCTCGACAGACAGCTGGAGAACGGCGACTGGGACCAGGAGCGCAAGCTCCAGAGGCCTCGCAGCGCCACGCAGGGACATTTGCAGGACCTGCGCGGCAAAGAAGTCGATAGCGACAAGCGGGCCCAAACGTTGGCCGAGTACTTCGCCACAGTGCGATGGACCGTGCGGCCAATCGAAGCCGTGGACAATCCTGAAACGACCTCCGCTCTGGCCGCGCAGGCAGGCCCGATTACCCAGAAAGAATGGTGCGCAGCATCACGCAAGCTGAAACGGAACCGGGCGCCCGGCAAGGACGATATCCCCGCTGAGTTTTGGATGGCCATCTGCGGCGTAAGCATGCCAGCAAGCGAGTGGGCCGTCCTGTTTTGCAATCGGTGTTGGACGGATGCGTCTGTGCCTGGAGCTTGGCACGAGGCGACTGTCACGGCCATCTTCAAAAAAGGCGACGTCGCCGAATGCGGGAGAACTACTGGCCGATACCCCTCTTGCCCATCGGGCACAAGCTCTACGCCACGATGCTGCTCGCTCGCTTGAAGGGCGGTGGCGCCGAGGGTTGGATTTGGGACATGCAGTTCGGGCTTCGGTCGGGGACTGAACTGTTCGTCGACAAACGCCTCATCGAGGACACCGTGGACACGGCGTCGGGGAAATTACTCCTTCTCGCACTTGACTGGGCCAAAATATTTGACAGCGTGTCGCCAGATAGCTTTGATCCGGTTCGGCGTCTCTGAACACTTCGCCGCCGCAGTGGAAGGGATCTACAGCAATAGTTAGGAATTTCCGCGTCTGGGACGCTGGCTCTGACTCCCAGTCTTGGTCGCAGACGTTCGGCATATCGCAACACTGGCCACTATCACCCTTCTTGTTCTCAATCGTGATGACCGTCCTCGTGCACAACACACAACGGAGTGTTGCTTGCAGCGGGCAGGCACGACCCTATACTATCCCGATCAGTGAGCTCACGCACGCCGACGACACTCTCATCGTCGGAGCCGAAGAGGACTACGTGCACCAGCTGACGGAATGCGTGCGCGAGGCCGAGAGTAACTTTGGGCTGAGATTCAACTGGGCAAGCTCGAGGTGTTTTCGATGGGATGCGAGACGCACATGGCACGACTAGACAGGGCAGCAATTCCGCAGAGGGACAGCACGG